GCGGGATTCGAACGCAGGACCTACTGGCTTCGCGCGCGAGCACTTAACCATTAGACCACTGAGCTGGCCGGCATCCAACGGTGTTAATGTCTAACTTCAACCAATCCACGAAGTTGCGCCACCATATACCATTGTCTTCAGTGAGCTGATATCTCACAACAGACCTGGTTGTACTCCACTGGTAACGGCTTCCCACTAGAACTCCAGGAGTATCTCTTGAAGTCAGTCACTAGTGAGCAGATGATTCGAATCCCGAGGGGTGCGGGATCGTGGATGCGCACTGCTGAGGAGTCCCATACTAGGACGAAACGGCCATCCAGTGCTTCCAGGTTTTAAATGATGGTCTAGCTTCAACTGACTCATGATTTCAATCTGTGAAAATTTCTAAAATCTCTACAAACCCCTTCTGATAACTTTACATTTGACAATTTTCATCTTTTAATTCTCTGTCAGTTGAATGATTGAGTGTTAGAACGTGGGGGAAATGATAAGTAATGGTAATTGTGATATTTCATGTTTATAAAGTTGACAAATTGAGAATATACCTAGCCACAACACGAACAGTTATATAGACATGGTAAGAGTAATGAGATTTATCAACTTATCTTATATGTAATTCCTATACTACTGAAAAAGCCATCAATGGAACATTTTTTGATTTTAATTATTCAGCCTTATAAGCGTACGATTAGAAGTGGAGTAATATGAAAAGTTATAAAGTGATAAACGGAATGTATACCAGGTTCCAGACAAATCTAAAACGATTGCTAGTAATACTATCCTTTTACAGAAAAAAATTTTTTTTTGTTTCATTGAACTTCATAGCAACTTAGAACAATGTTAAATGTAGAATCATTCTAATAACGCTATCAATAGTATGACACTTAAGTGTTGTTACGAGAATAAGAGCAGTTTTCAATTCTTAGTTGGCCACACTAATGAAAGTGCCCAAAAAAGAAAGTTAAGTAAACAATGTGGTCTTGACAACTTGTCAATGTGATCACAATCACATGAACTTATATGTAATATTCTTTATCTCTTTCAATTACAAAATAATTTTAAAAAATTATCCAGTGTAAAACTTCATTCGTTCATCTTTAATAAAGTTCTATACTAAACAATACTGTGTATCATTTATTTTGGCTAAATAACCTAAATTAAAGTAACCTAAACAAGACGAAAAAGAAGCAGAGAATAATGCCAAAGAGAAAAAAAGATAGTAGTTAGTAACAAGTTAGTCATCTGGATAAATAAATAAAAACAAACACACACAGTGTACAATATAAAAAAGACTATACAAACAAAATAACTAAAAAGTAATACGAATCATTGCTTTAAGCAAAGATGGATAGTGGTTAACAGTGGAGTTCAGGACAAGCGTTTAGTCCTATTTAGAACTCGTCAGATGGATGTACATGCATTGCAGAGTTGATGTCCACTCTGGAACTCGAACCCAGTACCGTTCGCTTCAAAAGCCATTGCGAGTCCTGGTAGCTACCCCCGCTTGTGCAATGGAGTGAAGTTTAAATTCACTTGATGTTGTTTTCCTTGTATTTTCCTATTGTTATTTAAGACTGCAATTGACCAATCTCTTATTGGCATATGTGCATCCTGTGCGGATTGCCCCGATATAGCCTTAAGTTACAAGCATTTTAAGCAACTCTTGGATGCAAGTACATCTAGCTGACGAGTCCCAAATAAGATGAAACATGCGTCAAACTGAATTCCACTGCTAGCCAATATCCATCTTTGCTTGAAAAGCTTGTGACTTAAGGCTATATCGAGGCAATCCTCACAAGATGCACATATGCCAACATGAGACTGATCAATTACAGTCCTAAATAACAACGGGAAGTAACAAGTAAAACAATACCAAGTGAACGAATCATTATTGTTCAAAAAGAGAAAACAACTCATAAATTAATTGAAATTGTTTTCAAAAAATTTTTTTGTTTAATTTTCTTTCTCCCCACTTTATTTATACACTGTCAAAAACCATTCCCTGGTAACATTCACCCCACCCCCTTTTATTTTATTTATTATTTTTTATTACGTCATTTCAACTCTTTCTGAATTTTATAATTACATCACTCATAACGGACCAATTTCAATTCATATCTCTCTTTATCAACATTAATCTATTTTCAGTTACTTCATTACATAATCGTCTAATGTGTTTTAATTCCATGATTTCTAATCACTATTTCAATTTTCTGGAACCTTCCCTCCCAAACTCTATATATTCGAAACAAAAAATTTTATGACCTCAATCACTCTAACGAAATCTTTACCACATTATGTTACATATATTCATCCTTCATCGCCCTCTGTTGTATAAGTATGTCAATATCTATAATAACGTTGAATTTTAAATATTTTAGGTTGTAAGCAGCTGATGAGAACCTAACGAAATAAAATGAATTCATATTATTCTGCACCAACCTTTGTTCTTACTCTATTTAAAATAATAAAGGGAACTATGTGTATGAAATTTCTGAAAATGCGTCTCCCTGCACAGTCATTCAAGTCACTGAATCGCCTAGTGACAATACGCTGCAGAATATCGAGAGAAATTACCCGACTTAAGTTTTTTGATGAATGTCTCAAGTCATGCCGTTTCCCACGTCAATTCTTAAAATGTTTGAGCTCATGTAAACTTCCACCTTCTCTTAAAAACCTTCGACGCATCACAAAATCTCACATAGAATCTACAAAGTTACTGGTTGAACGTTTGAGGACAGAAACTAATGCCTTTGATGAATTAGTTAACGGTATGAGTATCGTATGTCGCATAAAATTTATCAATTTTATCCAAGCATTGCAAAACAAAATAAGCAAGAACTTCCTTGTAACTTTGTCCAAGACTCTATCGAAGGAACAATTTTGTTTTAGCTTCCCAGAAAACCCTGAAAATTCCCTCTACAATCTGTCAACAGTGAAGTTAAATCAGATAGAAACAGAAGCCTCAGAGACCTACTGAAAAAGAAGATGATCGACAATTCTACTTACAATAACCTACGACCTCGTGGGTCTCGTTTGCCCCACATGTATGGTCTACCGAAAATACATAAACAAGATAATCCTCTTAGACCTATTATGTCAATGGTCAATTCACCATACCACAAAGTTGCAAGATGGCTGGCAGATAAATTAGAACCACTTCGTCAACGATTAGCCACTTATACACTGAAGGATTCATTTGTATTTGCTGATAGCATGAATCACATGAATATTGCTGGTAAGTTTATGGTTTCGTTTGATGTGACATCATTGTTTACAAAAATACCACTTCTTGAAACCATAGACATAATTTGTCAACATCCTGATATCCTACCTCTACCAGCAATAGAATTCAAACGACTATTACTCTTGTGTACAAAAGATGTTCAGTTCCAGTTCAACAATACTATATACCGACAAACCGATGGTGTAGCAATGGGAAGTCCGTTAGGCCCCGTCCTAGCAGACATTTTCATGGCTAACCTCGAAAGAACCAAGCTCAAAGGAGCGATTGATGAAATGATGTATTATTCGAGGTATGTTGATGATACATTCATCTTATGTAATAATCAACAACATGCAACAAATCTGTTAAAGTTTTTCAATGAAGCTCATCCAAATATTCATTTCACTATGGAACATGAAAAAGAAAACATGTTCCATTTCCTCGATATAGCGATAAAACGAAGAAAGGATGGCACAGTTCAACGCTCAGTTTATAAGAAAGACACATGGAATGGTATTTATCTCAATTTCAACAGCTTTTGTCCAATCAATTATAAAAAGGCACTTGTTAAAACACTGTTTCATAGAACAGAAAGAATATGTACTGCCGATACAATAGAAGAGGAAATTATGAATGTTAAAAAGTGTTTAAGAAATAACGGATACCCATTGAAATTCATTGAGAAATATGGAAAACGTGAAGATAAAATACCCAAAGAAACTACAGTAAATAAAAAACCTGTTTTTATTCAACTCAAGTTCAAAGGCGATAATGTCACAGGGTCAATCAATATGAGACTAAAAACTGCACTGACAAAAACATATCCTGCAGCTAAATTGATTGTCCTGTCCAAAACGACATGTTCTTTGACACAATCAAAGGTCGACAGGTATCCCTTTCATGTTACCACCAACTGTGTATACAAATTTACATGTATCTGCCAAAGCAGTTACATTGGTAGAACAGAAAGGAGAGCCTACGTCCGATTCAAAGAACATATTCCGAACAGTTTGAGATCAAACGGACTAAAAGCATTTAGCAGCGCTGTCGCAAGACATCTCCTTGACACAGGACACGAAGTCGATATACTGAAGTCCTTCAAGGTGATCAACAAACAATCAAATTCAAACCTTTTGAAATTCGCGGAAGCAATAGCAATCAAACGTTTAAAACCAGATCTTTGTATACAAAAAGAAACAGTAATAAATCTTTCTTTGCCCTGGTAACATTCACCCCACCCCCTTTTATTTTATTTATTTTTATTACGTCATTTCAACTCTTTCTGAATTTTATAATTACATCATTCATAACTGACCAATTTCAATTCATATCTCTCTTTATTAACATTAATCTATTTTCAGTTACTTCATTACATAATCGTCTAATGTGTTTTAATTCCATGATTTCTAATCACTATTTCAATTTTCTGGAACCTTCCCTCCCAAACTCTATATATTCGAAACAAAAATTTTATGACCTCATTAACTCTAACGAAATCTTTACCACATTATGTTACATATATTCATCCTTCATCGCCCTCTGTTGTATAAGTATGTCAATATCTATAATAACGTTGAATTTCAAATATTTTAGGTTGTAAGCAGCTGATGAGAACCTAACGAAATAAAATGAATTCATATTATTCTGCACCAACCTTTGTTCTTACTCTATTTAAAAAAACCATTCCCCCTCCCCCGAAACAAAGAAGACACCAACAACACAAAACCAGGAGAAAAACTAGTAAACAAAAAGATATATATATAAGCATACTTACCAAACTTGCTGAATTCTTGACAGGATCATTGTATAAATTAGAAAATCTCGAAATTTGACCAGATAAATTGTAGTCAATAGGATGATTTTGTGCATATGAAAAATTAGTGTTATTATTATTAATATTGTTATTTGAAAAATATACTGATCGATCGAAACATGGTGATTCTCTTCTTATACATGAAATTAAATCATCATCATTTGATGTTCGTAGATAATGTTTCTGATTAAATAAATTATGCTGACGAGAATAAGGATATTGTAAGAAACTGAAACCACTGCCACAGCTCCCACCTCCACTACCCCCACTCCCACCTATGCTACTACTACTACCTGGTGATATTGCTGAATGATGCAACCAATTTGAACCATTAGTACCATTACTGCCTCCACTACCTTCAGAACTTGCATAACCAGAAGAAGTAGATGATGAACCACCACCGCCACTGCAACCAGTTGACCAGAAAGAAGATGCTGTTCCCGCAGCAGCAGCCGCCGCGACAACAGCAGCAGGATTCATATTCCATATTGAAGAAGTTGGTTTAGTCATGGATGGTAACGAAGATGATGTTGATGATGAACATGTTGTAAAACATGGTGAAGATGATAATGAATAAGAGGCAGCATTTACAGCTGCCATAGCAGCCGCGATTGCAGCAGGATAACCAGGTAGAAAATAACTGGCCAAACGAGGATCAGTTGGAAATGGCATTTTGAATACTAAAGAAAAAAGAGATATATTTTCGTTTTTTTTATATAAGGAAAATGAAAATAATATTAATGAGAATTGAAGGCACAATAGTGTGACATCTCTAACCATGAACAGTAAGAACATGTTAAAACGTTATTTTCTTTTCTTCAAATAAATGATTACTGTACAGAAGCGAATATTTTTAAAAAAAAAAATAAGTGATAAACTACAAGTTATTTTGTGAAGTTGAAGAAACACACTGATTAAGGTGAATTAAAAACTAACTTAACTCACTCACCAAGTACGTGGATATGAGCAACACTATGAATGTAAGGGCTAATGATACTATCTCGTTTCTCAAATTGAAGTAGGTAGAGCAAGATTTGTACCTGAGATTTAATGGCTAAAAGACAAACACCTTTACAACTGAAGCACGGCTCCATCATAGGATAGTTTAAACGTTTAAATACATGACAAGCTAAACTATGAGTTAAAGTAGATTAAGAGTAAAAGTTAAAGGTTCTCATACAAATATCTATAAAATTTGGTACTTAAGTAATACAAGCCATGTCTTTAGGATATATATAACTTTCTGAATGGAATATACACAAAACAGTTGAAACAGATAACAAGATACTTTGAATGATAGAAAAAGCTCGATAACTCAAAAATAACTTGGTTAATTCAACCGCTTGAATGTTTTTACTGATGTTTACTGATCATTCTGACTTTTTGTGTATCTGTAGTCCCATGTTCTCTTGTTTGTTAAGAATACTCTTCCTAACTGGTATTTATTATCATTACATTATAACTATCAATTATTTTGCAATATTAATACGAATTATTAATGACGTTCTAAGGAAATAACATTGACAGTAGTAAGATATTCATAGACCATGTCGATATATACGCTGTACAACGAACTTATGAATATTATAAGGAGAAGGCATAAGTGTTAAGCGTTTTTTTTTAAATTACATAGTCACTTGTTTCTACTCCGTCTCCTTTTGCTCATTTACTACTATCAATGTTCCAGAATATTCTAATATATATATCAGGGTTTTTGTGGATATTATAAGAATTTTAATAGTTGAGCATATGAGTCAATTGAAGCTAGATCACTATGGAAAACCTGAAAACACTAAAGACAATGGTGTAAGGTGGTTCAATTTCGTGGATTAGTTGAAGTTAGACATTAACACCACTGGATACTGGCTGGATCGGTGGTCTAGAGGTTAAATGTTCACGCGCGAGACCGATAGGTTCTGGATTGGAATCTGGCGAAACGGGATCGTGGATACGAACTGCTGAGGAGTCCCACAATATATATATATATATATATATATATATATATATACTTGATCTACTTCATGTACCCTCTTAAGTTCATTTGCATATTTCCTATTGTCTTCTGATGTTTGTTTGTTTGTTTTGTTTTGTTTTTGCACTATAAACTTCCAATTAGATTTTACAATTTCAGTGAGGGAACAACATGTTTAACTATGACATTAAAAAGAAGGAAAAATGTTTTTTCCTAAAATTTAAAATCCCATCAATACAACATAGTGATTATTCATTTACTTATAGAAGAAGTCAAAGTACTTCAATGACTGAATATTAATAATGAATATCAATTTGAGAAATAATTTAAGGTTATCATTAAACATCTTATTGTAATAAAATAATAGATAATTAATTAATTATTTAATTAATTGTTCTTTTTTTTTCTTTTTCCATTTTAAGAAAGAAAGAAAACATTCCTTTAGTATGTACTACTTGTAAGTAGTAGTAGCAGTAGTACTATAGTTAATGTCAAATTAGTAGAATTTCTATTTTACAGAAATCATACATTAGAGATAAACAGTATAAAAGAAGAAAAAGAGACTTAAACAACAACAAAAGCAACAAAAAAGAAACAATTAACACCTTGCTGCTCTATTTCGCTCTCATTCTTTTGTTTAGACATTATATGATACATTTAATCATCTAAGCAATCGCTAAGATTATTCATTGTTTTGTTCTGCAACACTCATATAGCTACAAGCACTTTATATATATATATATATATATATATATATATATATGGCGAAATATATATTTGACTAGATATGAATATACCGCCCAACATATATTAAACTGACTTAAAGACAGAATGAACAATGTCCAATGATAAGGAAATTTATTTGTATTTGATTAATGCCTAGCCGCTGACAATGTTAAACTAAACAGAGAAAATCTATTACTACTTATATTATTATCACTACTACTATTATTATTATTATTAATATGACAAATAATCCTAATATAAGAAATTTTTCTTTAGTAATTCAATACGTGAATAACAGTTTGTTCCTTTTTCTTTTCTCTTTTTTTCTTCTTCATATTATTACATTTTTTTAATGAAATATTTGTAAATATGCATTACTATTATTATTAGTATTAGTTCTCTTTTAATATAGAATTAAAAGTGATTTGATGTACTCTAAAAGAAGGAAAATATAAATTGTACATAGAATAAGAATAATAATAATAATAATAATAATAATAATAATAATAATAATAAGAAGAAGAAGAAGAAGAAGGAAGACGAATGGTTTTGGTGTATATCATTTTTCGAACGACACTACAATTTATGGACGAACCAATCAGGTATAAGATAAGAGGTCTTAGATTTTGGCGCGAAAATCATTCATCTATTTGGCTAAATAGTGTTTTGGCATTAAACCTAATTCTCAAACTTAATCATCAACTGTAAATCATAATTCTAATTCTTCACACAGGTTTATAACCTTTATTTGATCTTAGTTATTAGGTGAACACTTTCAAGATCACTTAGGCGTCATTCAAAGGTCGTTCATAAATTATAATCTCATCACTTCTTAGATGTTATTCAATATATAATGATGAAATAGAATAGATCAATTTTCAATTTAATGTTGTTAAACTAAGTTTGATTTAATTCAGACATTGAAAAGTTTGTTTTTAGTCTTCATAAAATTGCTCAGATTTAAAACTTAACCCATAGATGACTTATAAATTAAAGTCATATTATGAAATAGAAAGAAAACATGTTTATTTATTTATTTTGTGTGCGTGTGTGTGTAAATTTGTCTGTAATAAAACTGGTACGACAATCTTAGTTTTTAATGGTTAAGATCATCAGTCAGTTGAAGCTAGACCACCATGGAAAACCTGAAAGCACTGGACGGTCGTTTCGTCCTATTGTGGGACTCCTCAGAAGTGCAAATCCACGACCTCGCCCCGGCGAGACTCGAACCCAAGACCTACTGGTTTCACGCGCGAGCACTTAACCACTAGACCACCGATCCGGCATTCAACGGTGTTGATGTCTGACTTTTGATGGTGGAAAAAAACAAACAAACAAAACTTTTATAAATCTGTATGATATTTGTAGTTGTGTGTATGTGTGTGTGGGAGTTCAGTTTGTTTATCCATTGAACTTATTATAATATCCACAAAACCCTTTCTGATATTAATCAACATATGCTTATTAGTGACTGATTTCAAGAGGTATTTCCTGGAATTCTAATGGGAAGCAGTGATCAGTGGAATTCAACCAGGTCTGTTGTGAGAAAGTAACTCACTGATGACAATGGTGGATGTGTGGCTCAATTTCGTGGATTAGTTGAAGTTAGACATTAACACCATTGGATGCCGGCCAGCTCAGTGGTCTAGAGGTTAAGCGTTCGCGCGCGAGATTGATAGGTCCTGGGTTCGAATATCGCGAGGCGGGATCGTGGATGTGCACTGTTAAGGAGTCCTACAATAGGACGAAACGGTCATCCAGTGCTTCCAAGTTTTCCATGATGGTCTAGCTTCAATTGACTGATGATCTTAACCATTGAAATCTTAGTTTTGTTGTAATGAAAAATTATTTATTCAGGTAGTTGGCTTCCAAGCAGATCTTTTAAGTAAGACCTACTTTTAATATATGACTGTTTAAACTAAAGCGGCATTAAATGGTTTGATTTATGAAACAGTTAATTATTTATGTTAAATGATAATGAGATAGTGATGTATATCATGCTTGTCTAGTCCTTAGTGTTAATAGTTCGTGATAAATCAATGTAAATGTACCAGTTGTACAGGATATCAGCTGTGACCTGAATAGCTCAGTAATAATGTTAAGGGATGTGAGAATAGATGATGTGAGTTTGAATTCTACAAGATGCATCAGTTCCCTAAAGATTACAGTTATATTTGCCTAGTTAATCAGGGTCAACTATCACGAAACCTAGATCTACGGTTTCTTGTTGATTAACTTCAATGAACTAACATGTAAATGTTGTGATCAATTGTATGAATATACCTTAATACATCAATGAATGATTAGTGATTTTTAGTCATAGACATTTGATTTCTATTTTATTCAATGTATAAACTTGATCGAACATTTTTAGTTGAAGATGTTTCTATAGTAGTAATAATGATAATTCCAAACTTAACTGATGAAATTATATGTATCAATTTCTTTGATAGATTTCAACGAACATAAATGTTACTTAGAGATATTCTTTTACTAACCACCTTCAACTATCATCTAATATTAAAACAATCTCATGTCATCTTTATTTAACCTAATAATTTCATAAATATTATGCAGAGAAAAATTCAATCTATAAGGTCCTTATGACTAGACACATATAGCAATGGTTATTACTCAATAAACGATAAGTCGGCATATTACCGGTTGTATATATATTACTATACTTATAATTATATTTATATATTATAAGTTTTATAATGCATTAATTAGATTCATATTGGCATAGGGATCCTCGCTAACAATCAGCGTATTATTATTAATAATAATACACATATATGAAGTTTATTATTGTACAAAATGAGATATGTAAAAGAATTGTTCCATCATTGTTTTCACATTAATTCACCTATGTATATTCACAATGAATACACAACGCACCTACACATACACAACACATGCCCACCTATGGGTGTGTGTGTGTGTGTGCATGACATTAAATTATGTACCCTTTTATTTATGAATGAAAATTGGCAAATTAAGTGATACAAATTAATCACATAATATCAAGACAATAAACATGTTAATAGATAGAATGATAGAACAACAAATAGTATTATGTAATATACATTGTAACAAAATAATTCTAAGGTGAAAAGGTAAATAAAAATAGATTTAGAGAAAATTTTGATATTTCCAAAGGGTTTCAATCATTTCATTATGATGATGATGATTATTATTATTATTAGTATTGAACTTATTGCTGTTGATTAGAGAGATGCCTATCTCTTTTAGGTCAGATAAGATAATGAATGAATGAATGAATGAAATTAGATTAAATTGAATTTGATTTAATTTTTTTCACTAATCAGTATTATTCATGATCGACATTTTATTTAATAGAAACATCAGTAAAAGTGATCTTTATTATGGAATAAATGTAAATTATAAATAGAGGTGAATAAGTTGAGGGTTGTTTTTTATACCTCAAACCATCATAGAAAACATGGAAGCAATGGATGGATGTTTCGTCCTATTGTGGAACTTCTCAGTAGTACTCATCCACGATCTCGTTTCGTGAGATTCAAAACCAGGACCTAAAAGTCTTGCGTGTGAGCGCTTAACTTCTAGACCACATTCAACTGGCATTCAACGGTGTTTATGTCTAACTCCATCCAAATATTTATTTGAACTTTACTTATTTAATATGATGAAGAGAGACTTCTTTTCTTTTCTTTTTATTTAGATTTTTACACTGCTATAGTACAGACTCAGCTAAGATCTATCTACAGAATCTTTAATATTCACTAAGTATATTGTAGCCAATATTTTCAAGTACGTTTTATCCGTATATATTGACGTGTGATTTTCATCAAAGATTTCACTACAAGACCTGACTTTTGTGTTTATTTGTTTTTCACCCAACATATCGAGTTGTGCTATGCTGAATATGTCTATAACAAACCCCTTCTGATATTAATCAACATATGCTAACTAGCGACTGGCTTCAAGAGGTATTTCCTGCAGTTCTAATGAGAAGCAATGACCAGTGAAGTTCAACTAGGTCTGTAGTGAGATAGTAACTCACTGATGACAATGGTGGATGTGTGGCTCAATTTCGTGGATTAGTTGAAGTTAGACATTAACACCATTGAATGCTGGCCGGCTCATTGGTTTAGTGGTTAAGCGTTCACTCACAAGACTGATAAGTCTTGATTTGGAATCTGGCGAGTCGGGATCGTGGATACGCACTGTTGAGGAGTCCCACAATAGGACAAAATGGCTGTCTAGTCCTTGCAAGTTCTCCATGATGGTCTAGTTTCAATTGACTCATAATCTCAACTATTGAAATTGTCTAGAATTTGTCAAGAATCATTCGAAATTATTGGTACATTAGTTAATGTGGTTCTTTTTAATGGAGTTTTATTCTATGAGCTGGATGGTTTGGTCGTGTAAGCCCCATCGTTCTTCTGAACGACATCATTCACACAAACTTCAAGTAGAAGTAGAAGTGTAACCCTTATATTTCTTTTAAAAAAGATGCATTTTAATGTTTATAGTATGATAATCAATAAAACAAAAGATGAAATAAATACTGACTTACATGAAGAGGCTCCACCATTTTTACCAAATAAATCAAATATTTTTGGTATCTGTTAAATAGAATGAACAGAATAAGTTAAATAAATATAGCGATAAGAAAAACAATGTTGATACAATAACAGTGTACAACCCTAGTTTTAATCATCAGTATAACAAAACAAAAGACAATAGATTGACAAATGATTAGAAGATCTCAAACTAACTTAATAATAATAATAGCAGCGTTAATTCATGGAGTCGCTAACTGTCAGATGTAACTATTGGATAGCGGATAATCAATTTTTTTCTTAGTTGAGATGTGTGATACAATTGAAACAACTAAATGTAACATGATGATCGAAAGTAATAAGGATTCAAAATAAACTATATAAATGTAAATCTATTCATTCAATAAACAATTTGTAAATAACACTTCATCTTCATTTGTTTCAGCGTATTTTTCGTACTAATAACCCTATGACTCGAAGGAACAAGGATTTAAATTATACATGAAATTCAGAACCTTCTTTCATAACATTTTCTCTCTCTCAATAATAACCTAGTGTAACATTATGACGATTTTAAGAGATACAAATGAATGAATCGATTTTATCGATTCAAATTATCACAACAATGGATCGAGGTTCAAAAGTCCTAGATATTAAGTACTGACACGCAAGATCGAAGGTCCTGTGTTACATAACTACGTACGAGGTGATGGATGTGGATCTCAACCAAAACCAACAATTTCAACAACCCCATATTGTAAAAATAAACGTATATTACTAGACAATCGTAAGTATTATTCGGCAATCTGTGTACAATAAACAATGCTATTGCATGAAAACTGACCAAAAGTTTAGATTAGACAAAAATTGAAAGAACAACCATGAAAGTAACTATTTTTTTCTGATATAACCATCTAACGATAAACCAAAAAACGAATAAACTACTTTGACATTTCTGAAAAGTAACTGGATTGTTACTATAAGTTAATCTGACATTTATTAATAAGATAACAAATTAATTATCTTAACTATGTGATCTCGATTTACTAACTACTAACAGGCAACATGAAAGATGAACTAAAATGAGAGACATTATGCACTAGAATTATGAATGCATGCATTTATTTCACAGAATAATCTCAGTTGGAGTACCAGTAAAGAACAGGAACCACTGGACTGCTTTTACGTCGCAGTATGAAACTTCTCCGGAGTACAAAACCGCGAAAACGTCCATTCGGTGATACTCAGAGTTATGCATTTCCTGATAGACTTGGTATTTCTAGGTTTAATTCCTGGAGGAATCGTGAGTGCTTAATGCCAGGGCGACAACAACTGTTCAATATACCCCGAACTCCAATGGTACCCTGATTGAGATCAGCCTGTGACAAATACGCCTCACAGACTAAGATAATCCCCATGAAACTTCTACAACCGAAGGACTTATAAAGAATTTGATCACTGAGTAATAACTTATGTCATGCTTGCTTAGTTCTAAACACTAATTGTCAGTCAGTAACAACGTAGAACTTCGTACGTACGTACATCAGTTCGAGTTGCCACACCACATTAGCATAGAGATGCAGTTGTCAATTCAAATCCCGTAGTGGTAGAGGTAATAAGAGTATAAGCAGTAATCGGGAAGATTAGTGTTTGGAGATGTTATTCAAGGAGTATAATCCAGTGAAATAAATTTCCAAAGAGAAAAAAGAGACAAGGAGGAATCAGGATATTAAAATATGGGAGAACACAAAGAGTGGATGCACCTGCGCCATTGTAAACCATTTTGAGCCATGTCATTCAGGGTCTCTAACCATCGGTTGCTATCATCTCGCGGTCCTCAACCAGGTAGTCTACACCTACCAACATGACTCAGTCTACTTGTCAGTGACTTCATGGACTTGTGCCATGTAGTCGGTCGTTGGGCATACGTAACACGTGTCCAAGCCATCTCTACTGATGAAGTTTCACTACTTCATCAATCGATTTGCCACTAATTGAATTGTAATTTGATCACTATAGTAGCCAAATCGATTTGCTGTTTGAAGTGAACTAATGCTCTCAGTAGAATTAGAATATGTGAGTACAAATTGGTGTATCTGCTAAAATTCAATTCAAATAACAAAACATCAAACAAAATTAGAAATAATAACCATTGACTAATAATTACAAGTTTCAGCAAAATGTAAACGAGAGGAAACCATCAAAAATAAATGAAGTATTGAAAAGTTGAATATATAACAACTCTATACTAAGTACAATTAAAAACAGTTTAAATCATTCAATAAATGAGCATCTCAGCTTTAGTTCAACGTTATCAATACACTTAAACTAATGTCAACAAATTACTATTATACAGTTTGATTTTTAAATGACACTTCAAACATGATGTTTTACATTTCAATATAAATGAATAAACATGTAAATCATAAAATAAACTTAAATCATTAATAGAAAAGTAAGGTGTTTCCATCATCGAATGATAGATACTACTTATGTCAGTAATATAAATCAAAAAATGAATTAAATCCCAGTGTTATTTAATATAAATAATCGAGGTAGAACATTTGTCAAATACAGTAGTCATTTAATAGATTCCCTTAATACCGGGATTCTTCCGTAAAAGAAGCTATTCTGAACAAAATGTTTAATAGATACAAAGAATAATTTTTTTCTGGTTAGCGTTTTGGGATACGGTGGACAGCTAGAATGCAGATGGACGATCGCTGGACTTCGCAGATGATCTGTCTCTTTTATCACACACTCAACAACAAGTGCAGGAGAAGATGATCAGTGTAGCAACAGCTTCGGCAGCAGTACGTTTCAACATACACCAAGAAAAAAACAAGATTATCCGATATAACGCAACATGCACCAATCAAATTACACACGACCGAGAAGCTTTGGAGGATGAAAAAACCTTTACATATCTGGGATGCATCATTTATGAACACGGTCGATCTGATACAGACGTGAAGGTAAAAGCAGCATACTTACAAGTGAAGAACATCTGGAACTCAAAACAACTGTCTGTCAACCAACAACAAAGTCAGAATTTTCAATAAAAATGTCAAGACAGTCCTACTGTATAGGGCGGAAACTTGGAGAACTATGAAAGCCATCATCCAGAAGATACAAGTGTTTATTAACAGCTGCCTACGCAAAATACTTTGGATCTGTTAGCCAGGCACTATCAGCAACAACCTACTGTGAGAGAGAACAAGTCAGATACCAGTGGAGAAAGAAATCAGAAAGAAGTGCTGGAAGTAGACAGGACACACATTGAGGAAAGCACTGAAGTGCGTCACAAAACAAGACCTCACACGGAATCCTCAAGGCCAAAGGACATGGACATGAGAAGAATGAGCAACAGTTGGATAAAACTAGAAAGGAAGGCCCGGGACAGAGTGGGTTGGAGAATGCTGGTCGGCGGCCTATGCTCCATTGGGAGTAATAGGCGTAAGTAAGTAAAGAAGGAAGATACAAAGTTTTTTTAATAGATCAAACAAAGAATAAATTTGTTAAGTAGAATCATGGAATACTTGTGATCTTAATTCTTTAACTGACTTGTAAAATCCTACGTTCTTCCATCTATATCATCTTACATATATTCAACCCTGTATTCAAACAACAGCTTATTCGATACACATCAGTACATATCATCAATCACAAACCTCAAAGATTAAAGTATCCTTCTTAAACCAAAATTGATTATGTTTTTATTACTTTGAACTTTAACTTAATATAGGATTAAATGTTGGACTTAAACACTGAACTCAAATCCGTTTATGAATTCATAATGGTGGAGAAGATTTGTAGCTCAGGTGGATGATTTTAGAAGAACGATGAAAAATTCACGACCAAACCATCCAGCTTAGAGAACAAAACTCCACCAAAATAAATTCATAATATTCATTTGAGAAAATAACAAGATTAAAAAGGAATTTCAGAATAACACTTCAATGAATATCGACAACGTTGAACTATGCTGATATACAATAAGTAAAATGAAAAACTTCGTTTATATATTTTTTCATAATTAAGAAGAAAAAAGGACTTTTATTCACTAAGTAATAAGTTATTTGTAGGTTAAGGAGCCCTAGAGATGACTAACAATTCTTTTAAGAATATATATGAAATAAATAATGGACAGACAAGAAAGATATGGTGCCAATATCTTGATAAACTATGTGATGTAAAGTCAAGGTTAAGGGTTTATTAATAATAATAATAATAATAATAATAATAATAATAATAATAAAGCCAACAGTATGAAATGTATCAGCAAGCTAAAAATAAACAAAAAAGAAAATAACTAGAAAGTAATCTTTAATTAACTCAACCTAAAAACTTCATTATCATGAATAGAGAGTCCGAGATAATAAAACATATAAAGATTATTTCAATGGTTGAGATCATGAAGCTAGACCGCCATGGAGAACTTGGAAGCACTGGATGGTCGTTTCGTCCTATTGTGGGACTCCTCAACAGTGCGCATCCAAGATCCTGCCCCGCGAGGTTCGAAACCCAGGACCTATCAGTCTTGTGAGCGAGCGCTTAACCTCTAGAACACTGAGCCGGCCGGCATCCAATGGTGTTAATGTCTAACTTCAAATAATCAACGAAATTGAGCCACACATCCACCATTATCTTCAGTGAGTTACTATCTCACTACAGACCTAGTTGAACTTCACTGGTCATTGCTTCTCATTAGAACTGTAAGAAATACCTCTTGAAGCCAGTCACTAGTGAGCATATGTTGATTATAATTAGAGAGGGGTTTTGTAGATATTATAGAAGCTTAGTAGCTTCAATTGACTCATAAATTCAACTATTAAATTACTATGATATTCACAGAACCCCTTTCTGATTATAACTTAAAAGACAATTATAACGAATACGCTTTTTTTTTAAAAACCAGATGTTAAATAACATGGATCTGTTTAAGTTGTAGACATGGTGAATATTAAATATTTTGTACTACTTTTCTATTCATTTCATTGAGTTCATAACTAATGGTATCATTGTTAGTAGTTTAATTCAATCAATTAAAAGTATAACAAACC